TTTCTTATTATCACAGGCCACTGTTTCTTTTTGTGGGTGGGCGTCAATAAAGGCTTCAGGAGAATTATGAGTTGCGGGGAGGACACATTGGTACGATAATTCTGCCCGATATAGGCGGGTCATCTTGACATTTTCAACCGTAAGTGGTGCAGGAGATATTTGGGAAGCATAGGCACAATTAGCGTTTCTCGGCAGTACATGTGTTATTTGGCGAGTTGGTTCAAGAATGCAATCATTCTGAGGATAAGGATTAGCAACAACACATGAGCTATCGACACCGGCTTTATTAATAATATTACGATTGGGTAATATGGAACTAGGGAGTGATTGGATGATAAGACTATCCATTTTTAGTTCTTTGTCTTCGTCTAGTGGCGGCAAATAGGTGGAACACTGCGGAGAAATTTCAATCGGATTCGGATACGAATTTTGAGACGAAATCTGTGTATGATGAGAGAGTTTAGGAGCAGAAACATTAATTTGATGCCTTGCTCCCGAGTATGAATGAAGCCCTCGATTTTGAGAGGCGATAAATGCCGGGTATGCAGTTGTTCGTAAGAAATAATCCACTTCGCTATGTGCAGCATCAAATACTGTTTGATCTAGAGATTGTTTTCTTGAAATACGGTCAGATATAGCTCTACGAGTTTCTGGTCTCAGACGAATGGATTGATGTCCAAACCGCGAAGCTGACTCTATCGAACTCGAGGAATTACCACCGCGAATATATGTTCTATATATCGCTTTGATCAATTGAAGTATTTTCCTATTGTCTGAGGGATCAACTTTACTTTTAAATCCATGGCACGCAAACCAAAAGTCTAAGAGGTTGCCGCAATTCTCTTGACTGAGGAAAGCCTTGAACGTAGCAACACCATCGCTGTCTTCAAGGAGTGAATCTAGGCTTTGTGTCCATTTATACCAATTATTGTAATATGGGTAATACTCTGAGTCATTTTCAGAATAAGGTAGAGGCCTGCTATCGTCGCTGTTGGAAAATTGTTTTTCGCTGAGCCCAGATGATAGACAACTGGTCCCTAAGGCACTACTTGCGATGCTCCCTCCACTTTTGTCACTCCGTCCATCAGCTTCGTGACAGGAGCGCGAAAATTCCGGTGGATAACTCATGGTGGAAGACAAACTAATAGCACTTCAAGCAAATCGTCCTTAAGCATTTGCTGAAGAATGCTTAAGTGTCTAAAAAACGATCTAAAAATTTAGAGGCTATCTCGAGAAGGCAATACTGGTAAAAACATGAAATTATCATATATGGAAAGTCAAGGAACACATACGAGGGGGGCCATCTGCCGACGAAAAAAGCCGCAAGCCTTTATGAAGGACTCAACGACAACAAAGGTGCAAATGAAATTATTCCAAAGAGTTTGACCAATATTTTA